ACACTTAGTGGGCAATGACACTTAGTAGTTATGCGGCCCGGAATGATAATGGTCTCCTTGCAGGAGCAGCGTGAAGAGCTTGGAAGGCGCTGCCAGGCGCGGCCGGCGAGCGAGCCCCGTGGGCGGCGCCGTCGGCTGTTCGGTGCCCGAGGCGGTCATCCGGCGCCCACGCGCTGCGCCGCCAGCGCTCCGACGCGGCGGGACGGGCGCGCCTGCCTCCGCCCACCAGCACCCCGCCCTCTGCTCCCCACGACAGCGCTGCGGCTCGCTGGTTCGGCCCCCCCGCCCCGGCCCCCGGCCCCGGCCCCCCCCCCCGCCCGCCCCAGCATCTTGTAGCCCATGAGCACGCGCATGCACACGCGTTCAATTTTTTTAGGCGTAGATTTCAGGTGGCCCCCGCACCCTGCGCCCTCGCAGGCCCCATTACGCGATCGAAATGCGCCGGCTGATAGGACGTGCGAGGGACACCTACCCGCCGGCAGTCGGAGGTACGGAACATGTGTAGCAGTGTATAAATCGTAGGGAATCGTCGTTAGTTGCATGCTGAATGAACTTTTTTCGTCTGAAACAGGTTTTCGTTTCTAATCGGTTCACGAAAGAGTCTGCGATCGTTCCGGGGAGCCTCTCCAATGTGCCGTCTCGCCGGCCGTTAAAGCTCAGGGAGGAAGAAGGACGTGAGCAGTCGGATGCTGAGATATGGTCGCGGGACGCTGAACCGCTTCCAGTAAAAGCTACGACGTAGAAAAGAAACGGAATTCTACACCAGATGCATTAAGCCTCAGATTAAATTCTATCCGCAGATATAACAATTTAACAGAGTGCTTAGGTATAGTTAGTTTCCTTCGAAAGTGTATGCAGACATTAGGGTCCGAACGAGAGAATCAACCAAGCTTCCCTCACTGAACCACCGGTGTCCTCCGGTGACGAAATCCAGCGAGAAATCTTGTAGTTGAGCTCCGAAGATAGAGAGTCCATTGCTAACCAGGCTTGTGTGTAATACCACCTTCCAGAAAGCAAGATACGTTTCCTTTCGTCCTTCCCACAAGCGGTATGTTCTAGCGGAAAACATATAGGATACTCAGCGTTTCGTCTGATTCAATGGCAAGATCGAAGGATTTGATTATGAAGTGCTAAGAGAGTGACCACTCAGCCAATTCAGGAGTGTCTTGTGTGAATGGAAAGGGCATCGGAAATCGTGCAGTGTCACCCCTGTGTTCCGTTTACTTCTGAAACATCGTCTTACGTGCAAGTTTTGAAGACTCGAACTTAACGCCTTTGAACTACGAGAGTTGTGACAAGAACCCGCGATTTAACAGCAGAAGGCACCAAACGTACCATCCATAACAAGGTTCCTTTCCAAAGATACTGAATATAACCCCTACGCAGGACAAAAAGAACAGAACAATTTTATCCAGTGCACCTGGAGCGTTAGCTGATTAACAATTCTTCCATATCGTTTTGCAAGTCCCAATTCTAGAAGGCGAAATTGTCAAAAAATTTGTCCCTTGTTCTCCCCCGAAAAGCAATAGTGTATTATCAACCTGTAGATGCTTTCAATGGAGTAATAAACTCCAGTAGGAGGGGGACATTAACGTGGCGGAAAGAAAAGCGAGAAAGAAATCAGATGAGTTGCAGTTAGAGGAAATTACAGTTCAGAAAAACAAAAATCAAACTTTAGATTTAAATATTCTAAAATTTTTTTTTCAACTGAAAATGATGATGAGACCCGGGAAGGCGAAAGAATTTTATAAAGATCCTAATTATTCTCAATGCAATGTTCCCATTTCCTCCACTTACACCAAAGACACCATTGTCGTGGAGAAGACATTACCTCTATATCAGATAGGATTGTGCTCGCCCAAATACACAACGGCGTCTCATACTTCCCTCTTGTCCTT